TCTCCCGGGCCTTACGATAGCCAATGTAGAAGCCTTTGATAGCGCCGTTCCAGTGCTCGGCCGGCGGCGCCCTCCACGTGACCCGTATGGTCGTCGGCCCTTTGCTCTCAACGGACACGTCGTTGGGCGGGGCGGAGGGCTCCTCCTCGCCGGTAACGAAGGTGACGGTGTCTGCGGCCTCACCCCTCCCGACCTCGTTGTCGCCGACGACAGTCATCTCGTAGGACAGGCCAGGGCTGAGGTCTTTGATGAGTGCTGTGGTCTGTGTACTACTGGCAGTGAACTCATGGAGTCTATGCGGTGCGCTCTGATGTCGCCAATACTGGATCGTGTACTTAGTTAGCGGCGAATTGCCTGAATAGGGGGCCGACCACACTATGCGAGCCGTTCGGGACCAGACCTCCTTCACGTGGACATTGGTCGGTGGGCCGGGAACCTCTGTCAGGGGACAGGTATTTTGATATTGATTTCTACCTATTAATAGACTATAGGATACATACCGAGCACAACGAGTTTGATAGTGCGCTCGTCCTTCCCGTGTGTGTTCTCGGCCTCGCATTTATATATCGAGCCGTCAGTTCTTTGAGTGGTTCTCAGTAGGAGTTCCGATGAAACCCCGAAATCAGTCGTCGTCTCAAAGATTTCGTAACTTTATTTATGCAAATATTTTAGTTTTTAATTAAATATGAAATAAGAGGAAAATAAAGACTCACTTATTTGTACCCAATTTGTCGAGTTTGATGTTATCTTTAGTCCATTTGATAGCCAGGGGTTGATCTCCGGAAACATTACACTTGAGTCGAGCGCTCTCTCCCCTCTTCACTTGAATTAAACTATACTTTTCGTCAAACTTTGCCGGAACTGGAGGTCATCCAGGGGTTGATCTCCGGAAACATTACACTTGAGTCGAGCGCTCTCTCCCCTCTTCACTTGAATTAAACTATACTTTTCGTCAAACTTTGCCGGAACTGGAGGTCAGACACAGTATGTTATCAAACCATTCATCAATTCATATTCAGTATTAAAATATAGGGAATTGTTTTGAGCATAAAATGTGAGCCAATTATGAATAAGTAATACATTTTACCCGCAATTCTGATTGAAATCACTTTTTTCAATACAATCTTATTATTGACATCAAAGACAAGACATTCATAAGAACCAGAATCTGATGACTGAATGTTTGCAAACTTCACAACATTTCCATTCATTTCCTTAATTTTATTATTTCCTGAGATTTTCCTCCAAATAATCCGTGGTTTCGGTGA